GATGGCATCTTAACAGGGGGATTTGTCAATTTATTTACCGTTGAGAACAGAACGCGTAGATTGCCACTACAACCTTCGATTGTTTCGGAAAAATAAGTTTCCCTCGTTCTACGTAGCACACTGTTGAACTTGCACAATGCATCTTTGAAGATCTCATGGTCAACTTGGAGATTTGACTTTCGCCACTTCCGCTCGGCTCTCCGGCACTCTCTCTTCTGTGCCCTGACAGAGTCTGCTTTTGTCCATGGCGCCTTTTGCTTATTTGTAACAATTTTGACCTTTACAGGAGCAATCGTGTCCAGAACATCCAAAACACTAGAGGTGACAGAGTTAAGTAATTCATCCACAGTAGAACACAACGTGTTATCAAAGTTTATCATCCCCATGAAAAGTTCACCTGTATTTTTGTTTATGTGTCTTCTTCTTCTAACAATTGAGGATTCAGCTCGTGCTTTACTATTGAGACACATATCAAAAAATACACAGAAATGATCTGACAGAGCAACATTGGCCACATTTACATTTGAGATATTAACCCCTTTAGTAATTAGCAGATCGAGAGTGTGTCCTCTGCTATGGGTGGGGCCACTCACATGCTGAGTGAGACCAAAGGTTTCCAGCACAGAGCTCAGCTCTTTCGCGTATCTATCATTAACGTTATCTACATGTATATTAAAATCACCTATGACGACTAAACTATCAAAGTCTGTGCACACAACTGAAAGCAACTCGGTGAAATGATCAGTGAAACTATGACATGACTGTGGCGGCTTGTACACAACAATAATAAGAATAGAAGATTGTTTTTGTTCTATTTTAAAAGAGACATACTCAAATGAGGAAAATTTCCCAAGAGGTACTCTATGGGAGACAATACAATCTTTAAAAACTGCTGCTGTGCCTCCTCCTCTTTTATATTCTCGAATTTCTGATTCAAATTTGAAATTTGGTGGTGTTGTTTCTATTAAAACTGCATTTTCTGTATTATGGTCATGCCAAGTTTCAGTCATAAACATAAAGTCAAGATCATAAGAACAGATAAAATTATTAATTAAAAAGGATTTATTGCATAGTGATCTGACATTAAGCAGAGCAAGGTTAAAAATAATGTCAGTGTCAGTGGGTTTAGTTGATTGACTACAAAGAATTGGAATTAGATTTCCTGAGTTGGACCGTCTAACTGCTGTCCTTCTGTTATATTTGTGTTTATTCAAATTAAAACACATTTCTGAGCCGGTGCGAGGAACACACACTGTCTCTATTGGTTTAAAAAGTGAACTCTGTTTTACTTTGTTAAGTTCCAGATGCATGACTGAGTAAGTGCCGTTCAGTGGCAGGACTGGTATTACACTGCCAGACGGACAGGGGTCAGTGTTTGCACCACAGTACTCACCCGGTGCTGGAGTGGAGGAGGAAGGTGGTAGTGGGGGCCGAGAGGCCTCGGATGTAAACAGTCACGCCCCCCTCGGGGAGCACTGAACAACATGGCGTAAAAACACACAGCATAATATATAACATAATATACAACATAACACAATACATTATTGAATAATATATAACATAATACAGCATATATATATAATATATACACTACATATTATATATTACCTAATTATATGCAAAATTAAAGTAAAGTGCTTTAAGCCTGGCCTTGAATGTGGAGACCGTATCTGCTTCCTTAACATAAATGAAGCTGATTCCACAGTAAAGGAGCTTGGAGCTAAATGCTCTGCCACCAACAGTGACCTTTGAGACCTTAGGGACCACCAGACGTCTGGCGTTTTGTGAGCGCAACGCTCGACTTGGTTGATACGACACTAACGTGTCTTGGAGATAAGAAGGAGCCAAGCCATTTATGGCTTTATATGTTAAGAGAAGGATTTTAAACTTTATTCTGTACTCCACAGGGAGCCAGTGGAGTGATTTTAACACCGGAGTTATGTGCTCCCTCCTTTTGGTACCTGTTAAGATCCTAGCTGCTGTATTCTGAACGAGCTGGAAGCTCTTCAAAGAGGCTTTAGGGCACGCTGCCAGTAAAGCGTTACAGTAGTCGAGCCTTGAGGTGACAAACGCGTGAATGAGTTTTTCCGCGTCACTTTTAGGAAGGAAATTCCTAATTTTAGCGATGTTCCGTAAGTGGAAGTACGCCGTTTTAGTTGCTTGGCTTATATAAGCCTTGAAGGAGAGTTCTTGGTCAAAAATGACTCCAAGATTCCTCACAGTGTTACTGGGTATTATACTGACATTATCGAGAGTAACCATCTGGTTAGTGAGGGAGTCACGCAGGCGCTTCGGACCGAGTAGGATCACTTCTGTCTTCTCCGGGTTGAGAAGTAGGAAGTTAAGAGTCATCCACATTTTAAGGTCCTTTATGCAGGCACTGAGCTTTTCTAGCTGATCTGTCTGATTAGGCTTCATCGACAGATAAAGCTGTGTGTCATCTGCATAGCAGTGGAAATTAATTCCATGCTTTTTAATAATGTTTCCCAGTGGCAGCATGTAGAGAGTAAAAAGAATCGGTCCGAGTACCGAACCCTGCGGCACACCGAATTCCACTCCAGAATAAGGCGACGAGTCCTGATTCACATTGACGAAGTGATATCGATCTGATAAATAGGATTTAAACTAGCCAAGGGCTGTTCCTCTAATGGTGCGTTCAGACCAAACGCGATTTCTGCGGCCAAAGCGGCGGGTCTACATTGACACAACATGGGGGACGCGCGCCAAGGAGCGGCGAGAGATCACGCGGCGCGAATTCGAGCGTTTCGCGCGATTCGCGCGGCGTGTTTTGAGATGTCAAGCGTTTTGACGCGCGTTTCGCGCGATTCGTGCCTCCAACGCGGCCGCCGCTAGAGTTGAACAATGTTGAACTTTTTGGGAGAATTCGCGTGTGCCGACCAATCAGGAGCTTTCTCCTCCAGTGACGTAGTGACGCATTTCACTACCGGAAAAACACTGGTAGATGACAGCTATGGAGGACACGTCAATTGCTCAGGTCGGTGCTCATTCTGAGCTATATAACACTGCGGACATCAGCTACCGGGACCGAAAATAAAAAGGAGCTTGCTTGGAGGAGGGTTAGCGAGGTGGTTGGTGTCTCGGGTAAGTTATTTTAACTTTTCAATGTTGTAAATATTTCCCCGCGAAAAAAACTACTACTTTCCTGATTACGAGTTGATGTGTTTATTCAGTGGAAGTTTGCAAAAAGCGGTGGAAGAATCTGAGGGACACATATGAGGTGCTGAAGGTCGGTGTCATGCAGCAAACGGAGACCTCGAACAGTTGGAAAAAATACATTTCTTTCCTTTCTATTACCCACATTTTGCTGACTTTTACATTTATATTGCTTTCTGTGTATGCATTTCTTTTAATGATTTCTTAACATCATGGCCAGGTGAAAATAGGCATTGGCTATTTTCAAACCAGGATAGATCTTGATCATGTGTTGTGTTAAATTTCACTTTTCCCTTTTATATGAACAAATCATTTAAATGTACATAATTATGTACATATAAATGTCATAAGCGCAATGTACACATGATATGAAATAATTGTATTTCTTGTTTTCTTCTGGCACAGACACTGCCACCACCACACAAGGTGAGACATCTTGGCCTGAGCTGCCTGAGCTGCTGCTGCTGCTGCTGCTGCTTCCTCAGCCGGTTCTTCTTCTGTGAGGGCTGGACCTTCCCCTGCTTCTGCACCTACAGGTGTGGCTTTTTTTAATCATTGTTTTATTTTTATTCTTATTACAGGACTGTTCATATAAACAAAATGTTACTGCATAATATGCCAAAATTACCCAAGGGCTGTTACATCAGTGTAGACGACAAATTTACAGAGAAACGACAAGATGTCAAGGCACTACAGGTGGAAAGAAGCTTTGGTCTGATACAACACATCTTCCCTCTTTCTTTGATAAAAACATACTACTGAAATACCTTATGCTATAAAAGTACTGAACAAATACATGCAATGGTTGCCACAAGATGGCAGCTATCCTGTTTAATGCAGACAATAGAGTATTACTTTTTTACAGCCAATTTCAAATTTCATTGCGAAATACACTTCAGAGATATTAGTTTGTAACTGTCGAAATTTGTGCATGTGTGAGTAATTTCATTGATAACTGCAATGTTCAAGTTAATTGTAACAAACACACAACTTAAAAGTGTTTTACATGTGTTTAACTATGTCTACACACTCTGGCTTTAATACAGATATTATTTGCTCTCTTCATTTTGCTTTTTTGAAATACATGTTCCACTTTTTAACACTGTGATTGCCCTGTGTTCTTTGTTGGCGGCTCTACGGACGTGGGCCTCTTCCGAGCCCTCTTCCTTGGTGGGCCTTCAGAGTGGGAGCGGGAGCTGCTGGAGACTCTACGGACCAAAGCAGCCGCCCGACTACACAGAAGACCATCAGTTCCTGCTCTCTCTCTTTCCTCTCCTGCAAAGGGTGGCACCAGAGTCAAAAGAATTTGTGAAATTCAAAATGTACCAACTTTTATATGAAAGCAGCACCGTTCTGCTTAATTTGGAACCATTGGCCAGTACAGTTTTTTTTTACCTAAGGTGACACCTTTTGCAGGGGAGGAAACAGACATGTGTCCCTTTCCTCTTCCACCGCACCTCCTCCAAGCAAGCTCCTTTTCATTTGTTTATATGTACATTTCATTTATTTTTCATTGTTTGTTACTTTTTTTATAAAGAAAATATTTTTCAAACCTCATGTGTTCTACTTCAAGCCAACCATTACTACCTTTCATATAATATTGACAGAAAATGCTATTCTATATTTGTACATTTACTTTTATAAGAGCTGACTGGGTTTTATAGAAGATGGAATAACAAACACTTAAAGAGCGATACAGTAGTTGACAGTATTTTTTATTCATTTCACCTTTTACTGTTTTAACAACCTTGTAATTATGGAAAAGCTTGAATGTGCATATGATTAACCTGAAGTTGGAGTGGAGTCGCAGTGGAGTCTGGCAGTCATTACCTAGAAACAGAAGGTATACAGGTGAATAGAATAGTGCAAATCAATATGGGTTTGGACTATGGCCAGATGTGGGTCAGTCTTGTGGTGGACATGACTACTCTGTGGGCTGCCACGGCAGTGCTCCCTCCTCACTGAAGTGGGCCATGAACACTTTCCTTATGTCCACTGCTGGCTTCCAGGCGGCCATCCGCTGCACGCCTGGAAGTGGTTCTTCACCGGCAGCAGCTCCCCTCGGTGCAGGAACCTGCCCATCTCCAGCCATCCTCATCCTCATCCTGGAGATGGGCAGGGCGCATTAAATTGCAGCGCAGTGAAAAGGCCTCATCTGCCACGAACACATGGGGCTGGGGTCCTCTGTGGTCAGCTCCAGGTATGCACTGGTCAGGAGGCAGGTCGAGTGTGCCCTCGCGCAGAGCCTCACCAAAGGCAGAGTTGGACACGATGCCTCCATCGCTGGATCTGCCGTACCCTCCCACATCAATCACCCTGAACCTGTACTGGGCATCCACTACAGCCAGGAGCACAAGGGAATGGTGCCCCTTATAATTAAAAAACATGGACCCAGAGTTGGGGGGTGCCTTCACAGCCACATGCTTCCCATCAATGGCCCCACAGCACAGAGGGAAGTTCCATCGGAACTCAAAGTCCTGCGCTATGGACCTCCACTCCTCTGCTCCAGGCACAGCCATGAACTCCTCCACGAGGCAGTCCCAGATGGCTGCCACCACATCTGGGATGAGCATGGAGACGGTGGATATGCCCGCTCTGAAGCTCCCCGCAATGGTCCTGTAGGAGTCCCCAGTGGCAAGAAACCTGCAATTACAAAATGATATGAACATATTTATCACAATTACATTCATAAAAATCACGTGACAAAACTTGTGTAGCATAAAATACGTTAAACTAGTAGACAGTAAACATCATAGACAGTAATCATAGACACCATATTGTTGCATAATACTGTTTTCTGAGCAATTACATTGTGGATTGTGATTGAAAAATGACACACTTTGTAAGTATTTAGGAATTCCGAATGGGGTAAAAAAACACTAACCGCAGACAGATGGACAGGCGCTCTTCAGCTGGAATAGAGCGCCTGTAGTTGGTGTCCTGGTAGGTGATCCTAGCGCCAATGCGGGTCAGTAGGTCGTCAAACTGGGCCAGGGAGAGACGAAAGTACCGCTGAAAGCGACCCTCATCCGAGCGCAGCTCCCGGAGCAAATGGTGAAACTCACCAAACTCCAACCGTCTACGGACTATCTGATGAATCCAGACACGTCGTCGATTCGCCCTTTGACGACGTGTCTGGCTTTATTTATCAGATAAAGCAACTCCTTCGCTGACATCCATTTTGGGAAGCTACAGGCAAAAGAGACAAGCCCCGCCCCTAAACGCTCTCAACGCTCTGACAGCGGCTGCCCTCTAGTGTCCTGGCCGCGCGGCCAAGTTTCTCTGTGACAGCGGCTGCCACAATTTGTCACAAGCGGCTCAAGCCGCGCGATAGACGCGATTTGGCCGCAGAAATCGCGTTTGGTCTGAACGCACCATAAGACCTATATCACATTCTAGCCTCTGCAGTAGAATGCTGTGGTCTATTGTGTCAAATGCAGCACTAAGGTCCAGTAGGACCAGCACTGACACTTGTCCATTATCAGCAGCTAGTAGTAAGTCATTTGTGACTTTGACTAGTGCCGTTTCAGTGCTATGATGAGCTCTGAATCCTGATTGAAAGACTTCAAACATATCATTTTCCTGCAGGTGGCAGCGGAGCTGCTCAGCTATAAGTTTTTCCAGGATTTTAGATATAAAAGTGAGGTTTGAGATCGGTCTGTAGTTTGTAAGTATTTCTGGGTCCAGGTTTGTTTTCTTCAGAAGGGGTTTGATTACCGCGGTTTTAAAAGCTTGTGGGACATAGCCACATTGTATGGATGCGTTTATTATATTTACGATAGGCTCAATTATCAAAGGAAGTATGTCTTTGAAGAGCCATGTCGGGACTGCGTCTAACATGCAAGTTGAGGCTTTTGAGGATGTGACCACAGAGATCACCTCTGCTTGGCTCACAGCCATGAATTTATTAAGGCCCACTGAAGAGTCTAAGTGGGAAGTCACGTATGCCGCTTCAACCTGTCCACCACTAACAGCAGGAGCAACCTCCTCCAGCTTGTCACGGATGGATGTAATTTTATTATTAAAGAAGTGGAGAAAGTCGACACTGCTCAGTGAGCTTGGAATTTTAGGCTCGATTGCGCTATGGCAGTTTGTGAGTTCTAGTTCATTCAGATTCGGTTTTTGAACAAGAAAAATCATGTTGTGTTTTATCTTTTAGGGAGAAACAAACCCACTGATTAAATATTAAAGCTACACTGAGGAAATAGTCACGTTTTCATGGAAAATCACTCTGCAGCACAGCAGCTATAGTATGCTAACATGCTAACACGTGTTTTCTGTATTTATATAAAATAGATTGTGCATATCGTTTTTAATCCCATACTGAGACTGGGAAAACTGTATATATTAGACATATGAAATTATAGAATAGGCCAAGAATAATTATAAAGCCCTTTTCATACAATAGTCTAATAAATAGTAAACACACATTATACAGAGGTTTTGTTTGTCATTAATAAGACATTTGCAGACTTCCACAAACACAGGTTTAAAGTGGTTAGCCATGCTCATAACTTGATTATTTGTGTATATTTCTATCATATCATTCTTCTGTTTCCCCTGCTGTGAAGCTTGTACCTCTAATATTAAATACTGTAAGGATTTCTGTATTTTATTTTTAACCAGTTTTTTGCAAAGCCCCAAATAAATAGTATTAATTGAATATGAAGTGTAAAAAGAATCCTAAATGTGGGCTGTGTTTTAATGCATGATGTTTGTGTTCTTCTTTTTCAGAGACTTGTGGTGAAATTAAGGTCATAATTTCTCCAGCTTCACGTCCTGCTTCACCTCCATCACCTCCTGCTTCACCTCCATCACCTCCTGCTTCACCTCCATCACCTCCTGCTTCACTGCTGAAAACATTATGAACTACAACAAACTTGTATATAATATTTTCCTTTAATCAGCAGTCATGAATAGTTAGAACAGTGGGCTCTGCATCTCTGAAGACATGTAGCAGAAGGAGCAGCAGCAGAAGGAGCAACAGGAGGAGCAACAGCAGCAGAAGGAGCAACAGGAGGAGCAACAGCAGCAGAAGGAGCAGCAGGAGGAGCAACAGCAGCAGAAGGAGCAACAGGAGGAGCAACAGCAGCAGAAGGAGCAACAGGAGGAGCAACAGCAGCAGAAGGAGCAACAGGAGGAGCAACAGCAGCAAAAGGAGCAACAGGAGCAGTAACAGCAGCAGCAGAAGGAGCAACAGGAGGAGTAACAGCAGCAGCAGAGGGAGCAACAGGAGGAGTAACAGTAGCAGCAGAAGGAGCAACAGCAGCAGCAGCAACAGCAGCAGGAGCAACAGCAGCAGAAGGAGCAACAGCAGCAGGAGCAACAGCAGCAGGAGCAGCAGCAGCAGAAGGAGCAACAGCAGCAGGAGCAACAGCAGCAGGAGCAGCAGCAGCAGGAGCAGCAGCAGCAGCAGCAGCAGCAGCAGGAGCAACAGCAGCAGGAGCAACAGCAGCAGGAGCAACAGCAGCAGGAGCAACAGCAGCAGGAGCAACAGCAGCAGGAGCAACAGCAGCAGGAGCAGCAGCAGCAGGAGCAGCAGCAGCAGGAGCAGCAGCAGCAGGAGCAACAGCAGCAGGAGCAACAGCAGCAGCAGCAGCAGCAGCAGGAGCAACAGCAGCAGGAGCAACAGCAGCAGGAGCAACAGCAGCAGGAGCAGCAGCAGCAGGAGCAGCAGCAGCAGGAGCAAAAGCAGCAGGAGCAACAGCAGCAGGAGCAGCAGCAGCAGGAGGAGTAACAGCAGTAACAGCAGCAGCAGGAGCAACAGCAGCAGGAGCAACAGCAGCAGGAGCAGCAGGAGCAGCAGGAGCAACAGCAGCAGGAGCAACAGCAGCAGGAGCAACAGCAGCAGGAGCAACAGCAGCAGGAGCAGCAGCAGCAGGAGCAGCAGCAGCAGGAGGAGTAACAGCAGTAACAGCAGCAGCAGGAGCAACAGCAGCAGGAGCAACAGCAGCAGGAGCAGCAGGAGCAGGAGCAGCAGGAGCAACAGCAGCAGGAGCAACAGCAGCAGGAGCAGCAGGAGCAGCAGGAGCAACAGCAGCAGGAGCAACAGCAGCAGGAGCAGCAGGAGCAGGAGCAGCAGGAGCAACAGCAGCAGGAGCAACAGCAGCAGGAGCAGCAGGAGCAGCAGGAGCAACAGCAGCAGGAGCAACAGCAGCAGGAGCAACAGCAGCAGGAGCAACAGCAGCAGGAGCAGGAGCAGAAGGAGCAGCAGCAGAGTCCTGGGCGTCTGCCTCTGACACAGGTCTCATCGACAGCACTTCAGAGAACCTGGAAATAAAGAAAACAAATCAAACTTGTTGGTTTTATTATGATTTTGTTGTTTGTGTGAAATGTAAAGAGTCAAAGTGAGGTATTATTTACACAACTACATATTTGTCAGCAGTACTTATACTTATACTTATACTTATAATTGAATACATTAAACTCAAATGTGATTAGTAAAGGTCTGTTTGCTTTTCAAGAGACATAAAAGTGAATAAGAGCAGTGTCAAACATCTGTGTTCAACTTCATTTTACAGATGTCTGTTAATGTTTCCATGGATGTGTCAGTTATTATTATAGATCCATGGATGTGTCAGTTATTATTATAGATCCATGGATGTGTCAGTTATTATTAAAGATCCATGGATGTGTCAGTTATTATTATTATTATAGATAAATGGATGTGTCAGTTATTATTATTATTATAGATAAATGGATGTGTCAGTTATTATTATAGATCCATGGATGTGTCAGTTATTATTATAGATCCATGGATGTGTCAGTTATTATTATAGATCCATGGATGTGTCAGTTATTATTATAGATCCATGGATGTGTCAGTTATTATTATAGATCCATGGATGTGTCAGTTATTATTAAAGATCCATGGATGTGTCAGTTATTATTATTATTATAGATAAATGGATGTGTCAGTTATTATTATTATTATAGATAAATGGATGTGTCAGTTATTATTATAGATCCATGGATGTGTCAGTTATTATTATAGATCCATGGATGTGTCAGTTATTATTATAGATCCATGGATGTGTCAGTTATTATTATAGATCCATGGATGTGTCAGTTATTATTATAGATCCATGGATGTGTCAGTTATTATTATAGATCCATGGATGTGTCAGTTATTATTATAGATCCATGGATGTGTCAGTTATTATTATAGATCCATGGATGTGTCAGTTATTATTATAGATCCATGGATGTGTCAGTTATTATTATTATTATAGATAAATGGATGTGTCAGTTATTATTATAGATCCATGGATGTGTCAGTTATTATTATAGATAAATGGATGTGTCAGTTATTATTATAGATCCATGGATGTGTCAGTTATTATTATAGATCCATGGATGTGTCAGTTATTATTATTATTATAGATAAATGGATGTGTCAGTTATTATTATAGATAAATGGATGTGTCAGTTATTATTATAGATAAATGGATGTGTCAGTTATTATTATAGATAAATGGATGTGTCAGTTATTATTATAGATAAATGGATGTGTCAGTTATTATTATAGATAAATGGATGTGTCAGTTATTATTATAGATAAATGGATGTGTCAGTTATTATTATAGATCCATGGATGTGTCAGTTATTATTATAGATAAATGGATGTGTCAGTTATTATTATAGATAAATTGATGTTTCTCTCTCATCAGCAAACACACGTTAATACATTTAGGTCTGATAAAATTACTTTTAAGTGATGCACAAACGAGGGCCATAGCAAATATATAATCCATATCTAATAATCATTTATTGCATATATGTGCATTGTTTACATAAAATATAACTTTGTAAAAACTAATGATTACTGCCAATACAATTGTTATAACAGAGAAAGTGTAACAACAAAAGCATCCTCTGTTTTTTCAGAATACGATTGTAAACATCCAGGGGGCTCTCATTACCTGAACCCGTGTTTAGACAGCCTGTTCTGGGCTTCAGCACTGCAGCTAACTGGGCTGTTAGCTTATAGCACCGGAGCTTCAGGCTGGAGGTAAAGTCCGAAAATTTTCGAATTTATCTCCAAACAGACCCCTGATATGACAATAGAGGGGGATATTTCTCGCCTCAAATGATATTAGAATTAACTTTTATGTCCTAATTAAAGCGTATTTTGAACTTTTTACCGTCCATCATGGCCGCCGTGTCCTTCCGCTCCGCTCTGAGTTGTGTAGTCACGTGACGAAGGCAGAAGGCAGCTGCTGTCCAAATCCACATCAGGTCTCGCCTCCTACCTCGCCTGTGGCTACGCGGCCTTCCCTCGATGCCTACCGCGGCCCGATGCCTACCGTTTTGGACACAGCCCATGTCTCAGCAGCTCACAGCCTGACTGGAGTCAGGGGCTGTGCAGATTGCTCAAGTGTGCTGATCCAGATGCATGGTTTCTCTATAGGTTTTTCAGTTTTGGCTTGAAAAAAAAAACACTTTTTGTGTAAAAAAAAGTATTCTTCTGTTCACTAGATGTTACAGACAATGCCCGCATCCTTCCACTACCTGAAGAAGATGACATAGTCTGGGATCGCGTCTTAAATTCAGACAGAAGACATGTTTTATTGTCGATGGTAGAGACAGCACGAACAACACGAACAACAGAATGCAAGTGTATTATACAGAGCGTTGGCATGGAGACCTCCAATCAGCAGCTGCCACAGTGCCATGTAGCTTGGCCTTCAGATAGACACAACAAGGGAAAAGTACTGGCTTCTGCACATTGATAGAATGATGAGTTTAACTTTAACAAAAGTCGCTTCAAAGTGTTATGAAATCTCACACTAACTATCTGGTCAGTTTTTATACATTCTAAGATTATTGTACTAAGTGTAAAGTTTAAATTGAATGTTATATAAACGCTTGCTTTAAAAAGTTATTAAATTGTTAAAACACAATGTCCGTAATTCTTCAGACGTTTATGCTTCTTTCCAAGTAACAGCAAAACTTATTTACACACATACTGCATATATATTTCAAAACGTACATTTAAATGCATTTTCCCAACGTTTTGGTGTGTACCGCAAAGAATTATGGGCAATATCCTTCGCCGGAGTGCGCATAGATGCAGGCTACGGCGAAGTGTGGATCAGGGGCGCAAAGGGGGCGGGGCCAAAGACCTCCCTGGAGGATTGGGACTGGACCCTATGCACTCACACCAGTCATCGGGAACGCGCAAATGAGGGGCGCGAGGTGGAAGTGCGAGTATTGGGAATGGGACTCATTTGCGCGCAAGGGCGATCCCATGATGCAATATGATAGTTGGTAATGTAAAAGCCGTGCCACAATAAAAGAAAACAACATGAAACAAACGGGTGGAAGTTTGTGCTGAACGTGAGGAAGCTTCGAGGCGTGCGTGAGTCATTTAGTTTTGTAAGCTTGTGTTGCCGTATGTGGCCGTTTGTTCACTCACGAAGCTTTCACTGAAGCTCCAGAGATGTGCCGCATGTTATGTTATATATATATATATATATATATATATATATATATATATATATATATATATATATATTATCACTGACACATCAATAATGCGCGTGACATGGAACACGTTTGCTGCGTCGAGTTGCATATTGTCTCCTAGATCCACGGCTGTCCCATTTCTTAGGGAGAATATCCTACGAGTGCACTCCCCTGTGAGAAGGGCCTCTGAGGGCCCTCAGAATTGGGACGGGACCGATCTTTCGTTCCCTCCGCTTATGTTTGACCGGTGGGGCAATTCTGCACTCTATGTGTCCACTGATTATTACGTTATATATCTAGATATAATGTCTGGCGCATCAGCCAGTGCCACTTGTCAGAACTTGAAAATAACATGTTTGGCAGACAGCGTTACTGAAAAAATAGGCAAGGCAAGTTTATTTGTATAGCACAATTCATACACAAGGCAACTCAATAAGATAGCATTAAAATCATGAATAATCACAGTACATTAGAAAGATAAAAATGTAAAATCACTCAGTTGTGTCCATAGAACTGAAACAGAACTGTTTCAAGCTGGTTTTAAACAATATGAGAGAAGAGGCCTGTCTCACATTTTTAGGAAGATTGTTCCAGATTTTAGCAGCATGAATCTGAAAAGCAGCCTCCCCATGTTTAGTTCTGACTCTGGGCACTAACAGGAGTCCAGTCCCTGTGCTCCTCAGAGTCCCAGCAGGAGTCCAGTCCCTGTGCTCCTCAGAGTCCCAGCAGGAGGCCAGTCCCTGTGCTCCTCAGAGTCCCAGCAGGAGTCCAGTCCTGTGCTCCTCAGAGTCCCAGCAGGAGTCCAGTCCCTGTGCTCCTCAGAGTCCCAGCAGGAGTCCAGTCCCTGTGCTCCTCAGTCCCAGCAGGAGTCCAGTCCCTGTGCTCCTCAGAGTCCCAGCAGGAGTCCAGTCCCTGTGCTCCTCAGAGTCCCAGCAGGAGTCCAGTCCCTGTGCTCCTCAGAGTCCGGGCTGGTTCATATGGGACTAACATGTCACTAATATATTTTGGTGCGAGGCCATGGAGAGACTTGTAACAAGCAGAGCTGTTTTAAAGTCTATTCTCTGAGCCACAGGAAGCCAGTGCAGAGACCTGAGGACTGGACTAATGTGGTCGTACTTCCTGGTTCTAGTCAGGACTAATGTGGTCGTACTTCCTGGTTCTAGTCAGGACTAATGTGGTCGTACTTCCTGGTTCTAGTCAGGACTAATGTGGTCGTACTTCCTGGTTCTAGTCAGGACTAATGTGGTCGTACTTCCTGGTTCAGGTCAGTCAGAATCTCCTCGTCTGCTTTAGACACTATGTTTTTAATCCTGTTAAAAACAAAATGTGTTTTAGATAGTAAAAAAATGCTGATGTTTTGGTCGACCGTGTCAAAAGCGAGAGGCATCTGGCTGCAGACTCCCCCGCCCCTCGCAGACCTCCCTGTTCAGCCCCTGTCACGTGACCTTTGCCATGAGCTACTGTTACTTCACTTCCCTGGGACTTGAAAATGTCTTTCTTCACAAAGGTATAAAGCTTATATTATATTTAACATATAGGATATATTATGTAACTGTTATCTGCAGTTCATCCAGAGTGATCATGGGCCTCTTGGCTGCATCTCTGATCAGTCTTCTCCTTGTTTGAGATGAAAGTTTGGAGGGACGGCCGGGTCTTGGTAGATTTGCAGTGGTCTGATACTCCTTCCATTTCAATATAATTGCTTGCACAGTGCTCCTTGAGATGTTTAAAGCTTGGGAAATCTTTTTGTATCCAAATCCGGCTTTAAACTTCTCCACAACAGTATCTCGGACCTGCCTGGTGTGTTCCTTTGTCTTCATGGTTCTCTCTGTGCTTTTAAACAGAACCCTGAGACTATCAAAGAGCAGGTGCATTTATACGGAGACTTGATTACACACAGGTGCATTCTATTTATCATCATCAGTCATTTAGGACAACATTGGATCATTCAAAGATCCTCACTGAACTTCTGGACTGAGTTTGCTGCACTGAAAGTAAAGAGGCCCAATAATATTGCACGCCCAACTTTTCAGTTTTTTATTTGTTAAAAAAGTTTAAATTATCCAATAAATTTCGTTCCACTTCACGATTGTGTCCCACTTGTTGTTGATTCATGACATTTTTATATCTTTATGTTTGAAGCCTGAAATATGGCGAAATGTTGAAAGGTTCAAGGGGGCCGAATACTTTCGCAAGGCACTGTATATGGAGATACCATGGCGAGGCTTTATTATAGTCAAGAGCTGCAACTTCCATTCATCTGTATTATTCTCGCAACAGCATTAAAGTTACATAGGTACCCAATATTTATTTTTTCTATTATTTTTTAGAGGAATAAGAGTTAGCTAGACCTATAGGTCTACTCACATTTTTGATTTTCCTACCGTTCTGTAACCTGTGATACAATACTGAACTTTCCCCGTTTGTGGTGAATAAATTATCTCAATGATAAAGCCGTTCAACTATTTATTATGCATTCACAATAAAATACCCCTTTTATCAACACAATCAACAGAAAAGAGTTCCATGTCCTCAGTCCGAGAGAAGACAAACTTGAAGGGCTCCAAGATGTTCTCATGCTCCTCACTGTCCGGGTCAAAACCGGTCTCCCTAAACTGAGAGAAGTCTGCTTGTGTCCAGTAAAGGAAGTGACATAACAGGGGCTCCTGAAGGTGGGGCTGAACAGGGAGGTCTGCGAGGGGGGGGGAGTGGTCTGCAGCCAGACTCTCTTGTGAAAAGCTGCACTCAAATCTAACAAGATTAAGATTTGTATGAATTCAATTTCTTGCTTCAATTTCTTGATAGTAAAGTAATCTGTTGTGGTTCTATCGCATTCTTTGCCATTGCCAAACTACATCCTGCAAATTTGGCGCAAAGTCTTGATGTCACCCACATCTACCTACAACACCCGCCTCCCGCGCTCGCTGATTGGTCGGATGGGATTCAACCGATGTCATTGCAAACACTGGGACTAGACCCAGACGGTACATGCAGGAAAATGATAATTGAGTTTACAGATGGCTAAGGGCAATACATCATATTAAAGCTGCACTAACTGACTTTGGGATTTTGAAGCCGTGGACTCGCTGGCCTCTTTCTGCTCCCCTCCCCGCACCCACGAAGCTATCGCCCCCCACACACACCCACTGTTGACAGAGCTAGCGTCTCCCAATATGGATAATACATGGATATGGATTTGCACATGGATGGCGTGACCATAGAACGATAAAACCGGGAAGCGCGGAGGAACGAGACTCTTTTGGATGGCTGTCTCGCTGTGTAAGCAGTAACCGGTGACGAAGACGAGGAAGCTTCAGGTTAGCTCCACCGCTTGTTGTGCTAACTCAGCCGTCTGTGCTAACGGACCTGTAGATTTCTCACGAAAGTGGTCCGCTGTGATTGGTCACAATCTGCGACCCGAAACACATTCTCTTCCTTGTTTCTTCAAAACTCGATCTAAAATATAATGTCACGCCAGCACAAATCTGCTCTACTTTTTCTTCAAAAGGACGTATATCCCAATGCACTGCATGGACATGGATAGCATTGAATACAAAAATAAAGTCAGTTAGTGCAGCTTTAAAGCATTTGAGTAGACGCACGCAACCATAACGTTCTGGTGAGTGATGGGCACACACCATGCAGTTCGGCGCCAAATAATGTTTTGTGTCTGAGAAACTTAATTTACAGACATCCTGTATTTTCAACTTGTTATCTGGGAACACATAAAAGATCTAACCAACTGATGAGCACAACTAGAGGCTCAATCTAATAATGGACTTTATTGGAGCTGTATATACAGTATTTACCTATATTTGATCATCTATAGTTTAAAATATCTTATTTTTCATCTACGCCTGACTAATGCTCCCTTTTTTCTCATTATTCAGATGCCCGTGGAGGGCTTTATTGTCCACCAGTTTAAGCATCTCCCCCTCATCTGTTTGTAATTAGATTATCCAAACCAAAGACGAGCCGTCCTGCATTAACGTTCATCCAAGTCCCCACAACAGCAGCTTTGTGCTCCAAAATTCAAGTCACAAGTGCCCTATCCGCCCTGGTCAGTCAGGAGGCTTCAGTCCAGCTCTTACCATGCTTTAGACAGACATCGCTGTGCACCTTCAAAATGCGATGTCCCCATTTTCTTCTGCTACTTTGGGCTTCTATGCTCACACCAGGGCTCATGTGGACAGACGACGGCCAAGTTATTGAGCTGGACGTATTTCTCAAAAGAATCTATTCTGGAATATCATGGCGCGAACAAAAAGCGGCCAACAAAGAAGTGCACTCACAAAAGGAGAATGTGCAGGGCCAGAAAGGGGACTTTCGTGGGATTGCTGGGCCTGAAGTGTTGACCAAAAACGGGCGAATACGTGGTAAGACCTTGGACAAGGCGCATGTGTTTTATGGGGTCCCATATGCTGGTCAACCCACAGGGGCTTATCGTTGGAAGCCTCCCAGAGCAGTGAGTCCGTGGACAGGGGTGTACGACGCCACCTATGCCCGGGCTGCGTGTATGCAGGCCTGCGCTGGGCTCTACAGCCAGGAGTGCCCCAAACAGGTGAGGATGGATTGGTTCCAAATGTTTGAAACACCGGAGAACCCAAAGGAAACCTGCGGAGACTCCAGGTTCTTGGGATTCTCCTACCACTAAAAACATGTATAAATGTTTAGGATGAATGAGTGTGCGTCTGTGATTGCAGCTGTACGACTACAGATGGAAATTAGCCCAATATCTGATGTATTTATAGAACTGCTGTTCATTTTCCCATCTAAAGGAAATAAGGAAAAGGAGGCATGGCCCGACTAATCATTTTTGTTTGCTGCATTTTGTCATAGCAGTCATTATTTCTGTGGTGTCAGTGGATTCTGTCACATCACAAACAAAACCACATGTGAAACTAGCACGCTGACAAAATACATGATTAACTTTTGCACATTTTGTTAGGTTTACGACCATAAACCATAAAGATTTTATTTGGATTTTTTTACTGAAAGTTCACACTCAAGAAAAAGACAATTGTGAAGTTAAAGTAAAATGATACATGGAAAACAGGGCCTGCAAGTATCCACACAGGTCTGAGTGCATTAAACTGCCTTCAAGACATTTGTAATGACTGCTGGATATTCACTTTACTCTAACAATTACATCGAGGCCACTGCAGAGTAATCTACTCTAAATATAAATACAGCTGTTCTGAGGGTTTCAGAGCTACCCGTGCCAAAAAAGATGTGTGTACACATATTTCATAAAAGCTTTATAGGACTTGTTGAAATGTATAAATTAAAGTCAAACAGTCAAACAACAAACACATTCCATAGAAAGATCATAGATGATGCTTTGATCCAAATCCAACACAAATGTCACAAATGTCATAGTAATATTCTATATGTTAAATTGTATATTGCATTTTATAACTAACACTAAACACAAGTCCAAATCTAGATCTATAAATCTCATTTTCACTTTAGGCCTATATTCTCTATATCAATGGAAACTACAGTATGTGATGGTAAAAAGAATACTCTGTCCTGATATAAAAGATAAGAATTGTACTTGTAATATTGAAAATGCTACAGGAGTAATGTGATTACTTATTACCCTATACATAAATAATACATATATGACATATGGATTTTATATTGACTATATATTGTAAAACTGCAATTTTGACTGTATACAATTTTTACATTAACAAAACATAACACACTCTTTTTGCCATAAACATACAAACGTCAGGAGATAATCATACAAACATTACACAAAAGTCATATAAAATGGGATTTTGTGTGAACATTGTTATGTTTTATGCAACTTTTCCATGTGGGTGTGGTCGGAGAGTATTGGTCAATAAGTATCGTGAGGCCGAAGAGCACTTCAGAGACGTCAGAGATCAAACAAAGTGACCCAAGATGACTCAGGAGGAGCTGCAAAGTACTGCTGCTAACCCTTTATGGTGGCAACATGAAAGTCATTATTGAAGTTTCACAGAAGTCATATGGAGCTTCCATGTGGAAGAAGGTGCTCTGTGCTTTGGTCAGAAAAAAGGAACTTCTTGGCCCTGTACACAAAGCTAAATCTACAATGGCATTGTTGGGGGCCTCCAAGGACGGCTCGCCAAATACTACGGTCATTCTATTTCCAAATGATTGAACAGTGCTCCGTGAGAAATCTGAGGGTATAACTCAACACTACTTTACACTTCTCCACAACATTATCCCTGACCTCTCTGGTGAGCTCTTCTTTAGTGACCAACACACTCCGACCATAGCTTTGAGGCCCTCACAGAACAGCTGTATATATTCTGAGGGTAGATTACACACCAGTGGTCTCTATTTAATCATAAGATAAGATAAACCTTTATTAGTGCCAAAGTGTGAAGATCCACCAGTCAGTAGGAATGTTTTAAAGGCAATTTAAAGGTTCCAGATTACGCTATTCTCCATGTTTCACAGTCAGTCCTCTGCACATGTGTGAACCACAGTCAGTCCTCTGCACATGTGTGAACCACAGTCAGTCATCTGCACATGTGTGAACCACAGTCAGTCCTCTGCACATGTGTGAACCACAGTCAGTCCTCTGCACATGTGTGAACCACAGTCAGTCCTCTGCACATGTGTGAGCCACAGTCAGTCCTCTGCACATGTGTGAACCACAGTCAGTCATCTGCACATGTGTGAACCACAGTCAGTCATCTGCACATGTGTGAACCACAGTCAGTCCTCTGCACATGTGTGAACCACAGTCAGTCCTCTGCACATGTGTGAACCACAGTCAGTCATCTGCACATGTGTGAACCACAGTCAGTCCTCTGCACATGTGTGAACCACAGTCAGTCATCTGCACATGTGTGAACCACAGTCAGTCATCTGCACATGTGTGAACCACAGTCAGTCTTCTGCACATGTGTGAACCACAGTCAGTCATCTGCACATGTGTGAACCACAGTCAGTCATCAGTCTCTGCACATGTGTGAACCACAGTCAGTCATCTGCACATGTGTGAACCACAGTCAGTCATCTGCACATGTGTGAACCACAGTCAGTCTTCTGCACATGTGTGAACCACAGTCAGTCATCTGCACATGTGTGAACCACAGTCAGTCATCTGCACATGTGTGAACCACAGTCAGTCATCTGCACATGTGTGAACCACAGTCAGTCCTCTGCACATGTGTGAACCACAGTTAGTCATCTGCACATGTGTGAACCACAGTCAGTCTTCTGCACATGTGTGAACCACAGTCAGTCATCTGCACATGTGTGAACCACAGTCAGTCTTCTGCACATGTGTGAACCACAGTCAGTCCTCTGCACATGTGTGAGCCACAGTCAGTCATCTGCACATGTGTGAACCACAGTCAGTCATCTGCACATGTGTGAACCACAGTCAGTCATCTGCACATGTGTGAACCACAGTCAGTCCTCTGCACATGTGTGAACCACAGTCAGTCTTCTGCACATGTGTGAACCACAGTCAGTCATCTGCACATGTGTGAACCACAGTCAGTCCTCTGCACATGTGTGAACCACAGTCAGTCCTCTGCACATGTGTGAGAATAATTTGAGTGATACAACATACAACACTCAAAACTTGTGAGATTAGAGCCATTGCTTGCATAGAGGTGATGTCACCTCAAACAGGCTGATCCAGTACCTCCTGGATTTTAGTATTATTTTAATTTGTATTATTTTTGACAACAAACAGCATATTTATTGTATATTGTTTTCCCTGTTTTGACGACAGTATTTAAGAAGTTTACAAGACATATCAGCCGCCTTAAAACTATGGCTGCTCCATCTCTTTATCCCTGGAATAATTTTATTGCAACCTCCAAGAGGGATTCTGTCTCCAGAGGCTCAGAAACCACAGCTTGATGTGTTTTGGCAAATTATTAAGGCCAAAGACTAAATCCATCATGTATGTAAATCTGTGTGTCTGTTCCACTGTAAATATTTTAGATTTGTTTATTCAATCCAATTCAATCCACTTTATTTCTATAGCACATTTAAACAACAGAACAGTTCCAAAGTGCTGCACAAAAAAAGTAAAAATAAACAAATAAAGTACACAACAAAAAAACTCCAATTAGCTCAACCAGTCAATAAAATAGAATTAAAAATAGTCATCACAAATGGTATAAATAATTAAAATAGGAAATAAATTATAAATTTATAAAATCTATAAAAACACTAAAAAGATAAAATAAAGCAGAATTAATTCCCAAATTAAAACACACTTGGACAAAATTATGTACGTTTTTTTCTCTAAATTGTGTTGCATTGCAAGAGAAAAACTGTTAAAACAAATACTAAACTATTAGTGGAGTATGTATCAATAGATTTATAAATTAGGAACTGACATTTGTAACAAAACAAGACTGTAAAACTTACACCTCAGACTTCCTCTCAGCAGCAACACAGGTCCATTTTAATTAGACTTTACTAAGGACTCACAAGCACAGGATCTGTGTCTGGGATCTTCAGCATCATCCTCCTCATCGGGTCATTAAAGGAGCATGTTAGACTGACCATACAGTTTACATCTGTATCTGTGAGGTCAGTGCGTGTGTAATGCCCATTAAGACCAGGACGACTGGATTTAAGAACAGTTTTTACACTTTCAAATGTGACAGAACATGATAATAATAATAAAATAATAATACATCAAACTTGTATAGCGCTTCTTTGGACACTCAAAGACGCTTCACATGGGGAATAAAATACAATAATACAAAAGGGGTTTACGGAAAAGCTTGTTTGAAAGGATGGGTTTTGAGACTCATTTAAAGTTTGGTAGTGAGTCAGAGTTTCTAATGGGCAGTGGGAGTGAGTTCCAGAGGGTTGGGGCGGCAATGGCAAAGGCTCTGTCCCCCCAGGTCTGGCGGTTAGTGCGGGTGATGGGGGTGAGGAGGTTGGAATGGGCTGAGCGAAGGCGGCGGGTGGGTTGGTGCTGCTGTAGGAGCTCAGTAAGGGGGCGGGGCCAGGTTATGGAGGGACTTGTAGGTGAGGAGGAGGAGCTTGTACTGGATCCGGTATTGAACGGGAGCCAGTGGAGCTGCTGGAGGACAGGGGTGATGTGTTCTCTGGACCGGGTGTGGGTGAGGAGGAGGCGGGCTGCAGAGTTCTGGATGTGAATGAGTAATGGGAAGTCCGTAGAGGAGGCTGTTGCAGTGGTCGAGTCTGAAGGTGATGATGGATTTTGGCTGTTGACTGGGTAAGGGAGGGGCGGAGGCGGGCAATGTTGCGGAGGTGGAAGAAGGAGGTTTTGGTGATGTGTTTGGTATGAGAGGGTGGAGTCCATTATGATGCCAAGGTTGCATACAGAGGGTGAGGGGGTGACAATGTGACCGTCAATGAGGAGGGTAAAGTTCTGGACAGAGGGCAGGAGAGAATGGGACTGATGAGTACGTGCTTTTTCATGCAATGCATTGATTCTATTTTTGTCACATACATTTACAATGATACACACGGGTTGAAAGTTTAAATGCAAAGGAACAAAAAGGAGATTTGTAGATCAGTTAATATACATTTTATTGCATTGACATAAACACATCCATC